CGTTAGCTTAACTGTTTATATCTGAAAACACCCTGCTTACAGAAATTTCACATGCTGAAGCAGACATAAATTTTGCGGGTACATTATTTTCCTCACTACAAATAATCAGTAGGAAGTAAATGATGGTACTGGACAAGAATATACTACATTTTGTTGAATGCTTTTGGTATAAATTTTAATTGATACAAAACAAAGTTAAAATCAAACCTACTAGAATTTATTTCAACTCTATGCAAATCCCTATATAGTGTCTATGAACTTCTCATTCTTTATAGGAGCAAACAGCCTCATTTATTTCCCAAGGAGTGGCTTGGCATTAGAACTGCCAACTGTGTAGTTAGTAATTCAGTGCCTATCCCACAGCCCCATCAGGTTTCCTAATATTCATACAGTAAACCTGCTAAGCTACTGACTTATGATATTGCTAATATGATAGAAAAATTGAACAAGAGATAAAATTGAGAATCCAAATATAGACCTGTGCATACATAAATTCATTTTTAGGCTAGTCCAGGATAATACAATGACAGTACATTGCTTTTTATAACACATGGAGTGGGGGGGTGGATCTATCAAGATTACCTCTTTAGAGTACCTTAAAGATTTGTTATAACTCTCCTCTCTGTTGTCTCAATCTTGAATTCATCTATCAAAGCTTCCTGACCTTCCTCAAATTACTTGTTTACAATGCATATCTTTCAGAGCAGATTGTAAACACAATTTAGTTAAGGCAAGTCATTTCCTAGAGATCTAGTTTACAAAAGGCTACTGTGTGTTTTCTGTAATATCTCCTCTTAGGGTGCATTCTTTCCATATTCTGACTTGACACTATAAGGAGAAATATAAAAACAAAATGAAACAAAACTGTATTTCCTTGTTAGCTCATGGCTATGGATCAGGTAAATGACTCAAATTTATGTTGTCGATTTTGCTTGGTATTATGTTAACTTTGCTGAACACAACAGAGAGATATGAATTAGCTCAGTCATTTTGTTTTTGTCAGAATCTCCCTTGGATGTTTTCCCTTACAGGAGGGTAAATCTTGAACCCAAACCCACTGCCGTCAAGTTGATTCCGTCTTATAATAAACCTACGTATAGGGTTTACATGATTATAAAACTGAATGGGATCAAATAGCATCATCGTTTTTCTCACGGAGCAACTGGCAGGTTTGCATTGTCCTCTTTCCCATTGATAGCCCGACACCCACCCAAAATCACCACAGCACAACCGAAATACCCTAAAATCATTTTTAAAATGTCCTCAGTATTGGTAGCTACAAGTGTGATGAAAAGAAAATGAAAAAATGTTCCCGAAGTTTTTGAAGGCTCCTTTACACACTGTATAATTTGGTGAAATATTTAATGTGCATACTTGAAATTTAATGTTTATAGTTTTTAACTCTTTAATGTGAGCAGGTCCAACAAAATGAAACATCACCTGTCCTGTGCTATCCTCACAGTCACTGTTGTATTTTACCCATTACTGTAGCTATTGCTTCAACTCATCTCATCGAGAGTCTGGGGTAGTTAGGTGGTATAAAGTTTTGTTACACACATGTATGAGTGTAACTGGATTTTCTCTAGTCAACCCAGTCTAACACATGGTCTTCCTCTTTTTTGTGACCCTCTACTTTATCAAGCATGAATATCCTTCTGCAGGGACTTTCCCTGCTAAGAGCATGTGCAAAGTTCATGAATTAAAGCTTTGCCATTCGTTCTTCTAAAAGTGTACTTGTTCCAAGATACATTCGTTGAATCTTCTGAAAACCTATGGTATATTCAATACTCATACGATATTCATGACACTGTTGGAAAGTTTCTGTGTTATGTTGGATCGCCTTTCTTCGCAACGGGCATAAGGAAGGGTCTCTTCCAGTCAGTTGGCCAGTACTCATCTTCTAAATCGTCTTGGCAGTGTGCAGCATAGTTACGTATTTCAGAATTCCCTGTTTGACATGTTACCCACTAACTGTGTGTTTGTTTACTGCGTTGGCTCTGGGCTTCTGTGATGCTGGATGCTATGCCATCTGTGTTTAAAATACCAGTTGGAGTCAGCCTGGTTGGAAAGGTTGCAATGGAGCTTCTAGATAAAATCGAGTAGGAAGAGAGAACAGGTGGGCCGCTTGAAAAATGGACCGCTAAAACCTTACGAATGGCAGCAGTACACCGTCTGGTGCAGATCGTGAAGGTGTGTGCCTCTAGGTGGAAGAAACTCACAATATGACTGAGGAAGAATCGCCACCCCAAAGGAGTATCAGCCTCAGGAAAGCAATGGAACAAAGCTTTCCTGTGGCACCATGCAAAATTTATTAATAATCGGAAAATGAAATGCACAAAGTATGAATCTAGGAAAATTGGAGATTGTCAGTGAAACTAAGAGTTCAGTATCTTAGGTATTGTTGTCCGTAGGTGCTGTCATGGCTGTCCCAACTCATAGCAGCCCCTACCAAATCCAACAGAGCAAAACACTGCTCGGTCCTGGGACATCCTCACAAACGTTCTCAAGACTAAGCCGATTGTTGCCGCCACTATGTCCACTCATCTTTTGGAGGGCCCTGCTCTTTCACTGTCTTGCTACTTTACCAATCACGATGTCCTTATCTAGGAACTGATACCTCCTGACAGCACGGATGTGATGATGAGATTTCATCATCATGCCTCTAAGGGGCATTCTGGATGTATTAGAAGATAGTGTTGTATGTTCTTTTGTCAGTCCATAGTACTTTCATAGTCTTCACCAAAATAAACTGCTATTCTCATTTTTATTCTTCTAATAAATGTATCTCCGTAACTGGTTAACAGGTATTTTTACAAAACACAGAGTACAAAAATTTTCCGAGATTACTTGATTGGAGGATAAGTATATATTTTAATTGAATGATCAAGAAGAATTTTCTGCCAGGTAAATAAGATAATAACAGAACGCTCATTTATTCGGAAATAACTGTTAATCTTCTGAAAGTATGTTATAAAATACTGAAAGTATTTTCCAACTATCTGAGGTGAAATGCTTTATGAGCCTATGCAAAATGAAATATTATTTTGCAGTAATATTAAAGAATTTGATTTTCATGATCATTCTACTTTATGTTTGGCAGAAATAATTTCAAAACACTTATTGATCTATTAAAAATGCTTTATACTTTAATCCTTAAACAATAATATGATAGAAATTGCCATGTTTAACTTAAAAAATAAAGTCACGGAATGAATGTAATTAGTCTGATTATCATATTGATGTTAAAGAAAATTTACTTTTGGACACACTGTGGATTTTCACTTTGGCATATCTGCTTACTTGTTATGGTATTACAAAAGCAAATTCATATCAGAGTCACATAAGGAAAAACAACAGTACCTCACTGTCATGTGGTTGACTTCAATTCATATAAAACTTACAACACAGAGTAGAAGCGCCACTGTGGGTTTTCAAGGCTGTAAACCTTTACAGCAAAAGGTCTCACCTTTCACCAAAAGATTGACTGGTGGATTTGAACTACTGACCAGGCCCATCTCTTAACCTAGTACACCATTTGGGCTAAGTAATTGATTCATTTTTATTCATTGATCTTATGTTAGAATCTGGCTAAAAGAAAAAAAAGTAGACCATTTCATGTACTAACAATACTAAGATACAATTGAGTGCATAAAGACACTCTCATGTACAAACAAGAAGAAAAAATATTTCTATCATATACTAAGAAAACACTTAGACCTCTTATCAAAAACTTACACTCAGTCTAGGGTGAAAATCAAGAAACAAAAATAAAATCTACTTACACTCTGACTAGTAAAACATATGTGCGCTGTCATAGAAAACTAATTTTATTAATGGTTGCTTACAATTGAGGGCCTCCTTCAGTATTATGTTAGGCTTGAAAACATATTCAACCCTTCTGAAATTTCTTTTGAAAGTCAGTTTCTTTCATATGAGAGAAAAGATAAAAGCTTTCTGTGGAAGAGATAGTGGAAATCTAAAGACAGTTTTATAGGTTTGGTAAAAAAGAAACATGAGATATAAATCTATAATTTTCAGTATTTTCTTAAGAGAATCAACATGGATCGCCAGTGCAGTTTCAGATTTGTTGTATTTTTCACATTAGTGGGAAAGATAATTTTTGGTCAGAATTGAAAAAAAATTGAATAAAAATATAAATTTTTTCAGGTAAAAATTATTTTACTTTACAGACTATGATTTTCCATTTCAATAGCAACTGGCAGATATAGGGAAAATATTACAACAGGAAAAATGCACGGTAAATGTTACCTCTTCTTGCACTTGAAAGTTTATTACATTTCCTATTAAGACTTGTTAAAAATCAACACAAATTCATTTCAAATAATCAAAATAATATTTCTGAAGAAATTTATCTTAAATATATACTTATTATACATTTAAATAAAATTTATTATTTAAAATATTGTTTTTATGTTTATAACATATTCCTCCTAGTGACAAAGTAGAAATAATTAGGCAAACTAATTAAGATATTTTATTTATTTCAAGTAAAAGAAATTTTATCTTGTCCATTTTTAATTATTGCAATCTCTGTTTCCCAGGTTGTATTCAGAATCTATCTAGCCATGATATGAAAAAAAAATCTGAAATTATTAACTTAACTAAAATTTAGTGACATTGGTGAGAAAGCAAGCATTTTTATTGTAACTAAAATAGTTAAAGGCCTGTTTTTAGGCTAATTTTAAAAAGGTGCATTATTTATACATAATATGTCTAAAAGATGGTTTAAAATTAATAGCTTATAAGGAATTTATGTAGAGGACAGAGACTTTGTCATTCAGCATTGTGTCTGAGAATACATTTTTATATAGCTACATTCATTTATTTGAAGAGAAGGCCACCCTCTGGACCATGCTCCTGAAGGCTTGTTTCACTTGCTGATTCCGCAGTGTGTATATGAACGGATTCAAGAGGGGAGCCACAGAGGTATTGAGCACAGCTATTCCTTTACTCAATGTCACCCTTTCCCTCGCAGAAGGCTTGATGTACATGAAGATGCAGCTGCCATAAGAGAGGGAGACAACAATCATGTGGGAGGAACAGGTAGAAAAGGCTTTTTTCCTTTGACTTGTGGAAGGAATCCTCAGAATGGTCCGAATGATTTTTGTATAGGAGGTAATTACTAGTGTCAAAGTGACCATGAGTGTTACAACAGCAAAAACAAATGCCATGAGTTCTAGAAAGTGAGTGTTGGTGCAAGACAGCTGCAGCACTGGAGAAGAGTCACAGACAAAATGATCAATTATGTTGGAGGCACAGAAATCCAACTGGAGCAGCAGCATTGTGGCTGGAAAGATGATCAGGAAGCCTGCTAGCCAAGAACTAAAGACAAGCAGGCTGCAGACTTTGGGGCTCATGATAGTCATGTAATGCAGCGGTTTGCAGATGGCCACATAGCGGTCATAGGACATGGCAGCCAGCAAGTAAAACTCTGTCACTCCTGATAAGAAGAAAAAGAATAGCTGAGCCACACAACCATTATAGGAGATTGTCTTGTCCCCTGTTACAATGGTGACAAGGAACCTGGGAATGCAAACAGAAGTGTATGATATTTCTAGGAAGGAGAAGTTCCGAAGGAAGAAATACATAGGAGTCTGGAGATGGGGATCAGAGAGTGTGAGGGCGATAATGATCAGGTTTCCAGTCACACTTAGCATGTATGTGACAAGAAGAAATGTAAACAGTACAACCTGCCACTGTGGGTCATCGGTCAATCCCAGTAGAATAAACTCTGTTACTGCTGTGTGATTTCTCATCTTTTCCTTCTTTATTGTGGCATTTTTCTGTCTGCAGCTTCAAAATGAAGGTCAGGAAAGCATGACACTAATAGAGAGCTAAAACAAAGAAGGGAAATACCACCATTGTTCTTGCTTTAAAACAAAAATGAATTTTTTGGAAAAATGCTGTTATTTTTACCTTCTATAATTCATTGTTCCTATACTTCTTATAGTATGTTTTGCTGCATCTTTATTTGTTTCTGCCTTCTAAATATTTCAATGTACTCCCTGAGAAGATTTTTTAAATATTAAAACCTTAGGGTAAAATCTCTTCAGGCTCTCAACATCTGGGACTGCACTGCTACATAATCGAGACACTTTGAAGCTTTGGCTTTGCTCTCTTTTTTGCTTTTCGGCTATGAATAAATGTATATCTTCTCGCCCATTCAGATTTTCACAAGCCAATCATCCACCTTGCAGTAATGAATCCATGGTAGTCATCTCAAAGGCATTTACTAGCTAGATATCGTTTCCAGTTTGATTCCAGTATTTTGAGTTGGGTGTTACAGTTTTATTTCATAGTATGCTTTACTGGATCCTTGTATGTAGGAAATGTACTAATCTTGCATATATTTATATGCAGTGCTTCCATATCATGAAACTACTCTTTGATACCGTGTTATGCTTCCATTTAACTATTTTTGTTTTTATTAGAAGTTATATTTCCAGACTAATGTAACATTTCTCCCACAATGCTGAGTATAATTTCTTGAGCATTGCTCATGGAGTAGCTTAACATAAAAAATAAATTTCAAATGTATTTGACTGTATATTTGTATACATATTATGTGTATTTGATTTTAATATTATCCCTAATTATTACAGGACTTTGTCATTTGCCAGTTCACATTTGAAGGTATTTTCCATAAATGTCTGGTGTACCTAAAAGCTATTTTAAAATACTTCGATATGCAGACAGCTACCCTGAGTCTATAATGTCTCCTTTATTTCCTAAATTCTTTCGAATTCCGAACTTTATTATAAAATAATGTTTTATTTAAGAGCCAATTAATTCATTATTTGAATTAATTTACTGATATATTTTTTAACCTATAAAATTTATAGGAGAATTGTGTACCCATTTTCCATAATTTCTTCTCTTTTTAGTCATAAGCTCTGTAGATTTTTGTCTTTTACCTTCATGTGATCAAAGCTAACATTCACCATCTACCATATTCATCTTTGTATAAGTGAAGTATATAAAGTCAGAGTTAAAATTCACCAAGTAAAAATTTTTGAATCTTACAGTACAATGATTGCTTGGCTCCCAAAATTGTTTCATACTTATACCACAAATGATTTTAATGAGATTTCTAGGCAAGAAAACATAAATAAATGGGGTTCCTTCAATCACAAATGATTCATGTTATCATCAACAGATTGTTACCTGATATTATTGAGAGGTTGTAATTTCATAATAATTATGTTGCTTCATTCTATTTATATGTAGTATCCTCTATCCTTTGTATTATTTGAATATAGCATAGATATATACCACTGAAAGAACAATATATTTCTCAAAACAATCATAAACATGTATACTACTGAAACAACAATATATTTGTTAAATCAGAAACATACTTTTATGGCAAAAATGACTGCTTTAGTCATCTTTAATGACACATTTAATTAGTTGAACATCAATGCCTTAGGATTTAAAAAGTCTTTGCAAATTGCTCTGCTCCTGTCATCTTACTTGTGCAGATGAATATCCAAAATATTTCTAAGGAGGAAAATCCCTAGGTCTCCTCCACAATGTCCTCATAAAGACCCATTTCCACGTACACACTCAAATTCTCCATCACAGTTCAATCCTAAGAAATTGTAGCCACATCAGGACGTAAATTTTACTCTTGAAACTAGTTAAAATTGAAATGAAAGTCAATTTCTTTTCCAAGCTTAATGGTCTACATAATATGATTTTCAGGGCACAAGTAATGTTTTTCAATATTAGGCCTTATCTTACCTTCTCCATTTACAAATGTCCACAAGGGATTAATTAAATGAATAAGCAAAAATTCTCCATGGAGAACGGTATTCTCAAGACAACAAGGGCTACTGACTTCTGATAATGCTCATATAATAGAAAAATAGGGCAGGTGACAGACTTGAGAATCCAAATATAGAGCCATACACACATATACTCATTTTTAGCCTCGGTTGAAGACAGTGCAATGACAAAACATTGTTTTTTTAACACATGATGATGGGGGAAAATCTATCAATATTACCACTTTAGAGCAGGATGACCTCTTTAGAGTCCCTACAAAAAATTGTTATTGCCTTCTGATCTGATCTCTCAGTCTTGAATCTTTGAGGTCTTCCTCACCTTCCTCAAAATAGTTGTTTACAATACATATCTTCCAAAGCAGATTGTAAGCATAATTTAGCTAAGGCAAACCATTTCCTAGAGATCTAGTGTTTTCTGTAAGATCTCCTCTTAGGGTACATACTTTCCATATTCTGACTTGACCACAGAAGGAAAAACATAAAAACAAAACTAATCAAAAAACTACATTTCTTTAGTTACCCATGATTATGGATCAGATAAATTACTCAAATTTATGTTGATAGTTGCTCTGGTGTTATCTTAACTTTGCTGAACAAAAGAGATATGCCTTAGTTTTTGTCAAAACCTCTGTTTGATGTCTTCCCTTACAGGAGACTACCACTCGATCCCAAACTCACTGCCATCAAATTAATTCATTTTTATAACAAACCTATGTATAGAGTTTTCAAGATTGTAAATCTTTATGGGATCAAAAAGCCTCATATTTTTTTCTTAAAGAGCAACCGATATATTTGAGGGTCTACTTTCCCATTAATAACCTAACACCCACCCAATATCACCACCAGAAATTTTTTACAGGGCAATAGAAATACATTAAGATAATTTTAAAAATTTCCCCTGTGTGGTAGATAAAAGTGTAAGTAAAAGAAAAAAAAATCCCCATGAAGATTTTGAAGGCTCATGCACACATGGTATCATTTAGCCAAATTTTTTTAATGTGCAACTTGAAATTTAATGTTTGTAATTTTTATTTCTTTAACTGAGCATGTCCAAGAAAATAAAACATTATCTGTCCCTGCACTATGCTCACAATCATTGTTGTATTTTAACCCATTACTGTAGTTATTGTTTCAACTCATCTCCTTAGAGTCTGTTTCATATACATATGTGAGTGTCACTGGATGTTTTTCTCTAGTCGGGCGAGCCTAACACAAAGTCTGCCTCATTTTCAGTGACCCTCTATCAAACACGAATATCTTTCTGCAGGGATTTCCCTGCGAATAGCATGTCCAAAGAACCTGAATTAAATCTTTGTCAATCTTTCTTCTAAAAGCGTGCTTGTTTCAAGATACATTGGCTTATTTTACTGACAATCTATGGTATATTCAATATTCACGTGATATTAAAAATATTGTTAGATAGTTTCTGTGTTATATTGGATCACCTTTCTTGGGAATGGGCATACATATCTTTTGGATCAGGGCAACTGATCTTTTCTGGTCAGTTGGCCAGTAATCATCTTCTAAATTGTCTTGGCAGTGTGAAACATAATTAAGTGTTCCAGAATTCCTTTTTTGTAATGGTACCCACTAACTGTGTGTTTACGTGCTGGCTCTGGGTTTCTCTGATGCTCGATGGCATGTCACCTGTGTTCAAATTACCAGTTAGAGTCAGCCTGGATGGAGACGTCGCAGTGGAGCTTCTGGAGGAAGATAGAGTAGGAAGAGAGAGCAGGTGGGCCACTTGAAAAATGGCAGCAGTACACCATCTGATGCAGATCTTGAAGGTGTGTGCCTCTAGGTGTAAGAAACTCAAAATATGACTGAGGAAGAATCGCCACCCCAAAGTTGCATCAACCTAAGCAGAGGAATGGAACAAAGCTTTCATGTGGCACCATGCAAAAATGAAAAGAAACAGCTGCAAAGATCTAGTAATAAGTAGGAAATGGAAGGCACAAAATATGAATCTAGGAAAATTGGTGGTTGTCAATGAAATGAAAAGTTCAATATCCTAGGTACGGTTGTCATTAGGTGTTGTCATGTCCGTTCTGACACATAGCGACCCTACTAATTACAACAGAACAAACACTTTCTTGTCCTGCATGCACCAGCCTCACAAATGTTCCCAAGATTAAGCCCATTGTTGAAGCCACTGTGTCCATCTATCTTGGTGAGGGCCTTCCTCTTGCACTCTCTTGCTGCTGTACCAAGCAAGATGTCCTTCTCCAGGAACTGGTATCTCCTGACAACATGTCCAACGTACATGAGATGAAGTCTCATCATCTAACCTCTAAGGGACATTCTGAATATATTAGAATAACAATTTTTTGTTCTTTTGTCAGTCCATAGTACTTTCATATTGTTCACCAGCACCATAGTTCAAATTCATCAATTCTTCAGTCTTTCTTAGTCCTCAAAGTAACTTCCATGTTTTCCAACATTCTAAGGAGGTCTTGTGCAGTAGATTTACCCAATGCCATGCATCTTTGGATATCTTGACTGTTGCTTCCATGATCATTAATGGCAGATCCAAAGAAGATTAAATTCTTGACTTCAACTTTTTCTCAACTTATCATCATATTTATTGTTCCACTTGTGAGAACTTTGGTTTTCTTTATATTGAGCTATAATCCACAGTGAAAGCTGTAATTATTGATCTTCAACAGCAAGTGCTTCAAGTCCTCCTCACTTTCAGAAAGCAAGGTTGTGTCATCTACATATCAAAGCTTGTGAAGAAGCCCTCCTTCCAACACTGATGCTGCGTTTTTCTTCATATAATACAGATTCTCTGATTCTTTGCTTAGCTTACAGATAGAATAAATATGGTTATAAGTGGAGAGGAAGTGTTTTGAGAATGATGAGGGCAATGAATGTACAAATGCGCTTTACACAATTGATGTATGTATGGATTGTGATAAGAGTTGTTATGAGCCCCTAATAAAATGATTAAAAAAACAAAAAGATACAACCCTGATGCACACTTTTCCTGCTCTTAAATCATGCAGTATTCCCTTGTTTTTTCCCCTACAACAGCCTCTTGATCCACGTCAGGTTCCACAAGCATACAATTAACTGTTCTGGTCTTCGCATTCTTCTCGAGGCTATCTATAGTTTTTTATGGTCCACAAAGTTGAGTGCCTTTGCATAGTCAATTAGACACAAGAAAACAGCATCCTGGTGTTCTCTGCTTTCAGCCAAGATCCATCTTATGTCAACAATCATATCCTTCGTTCTACATCCTCTTCTGAATCAGGCCTGAAACTCTGACAACTCCTTGTCAATGTACTCATGCAACCTTTGTTGGATGATCTTCAGCAAACTTTGACTTCCATATGATATTAATGATATTCTATAATTTGAATATTCTGTTGGATTTCCATTGCTTGGAAAGTGTACAAATTTGGACCTCTTCCAGTCAGTTGGTCAAGTAGCTGTCTTCCAAATTTCCTGGCAAAGAAAGTGAGTGCTTCCAATGCTTGATCAGCTTGTTGAGATATTTCAATTGGTACTCCATCAATTAATAGAGGCTTGTTATTTTTTAAATCATTTTATTAGGGACTCATACAACTCTTATCACAATCCATACATACATCAATTGTGTAAAGCACATTTGTACCTTCATTGCCCTCCTCAGTCTCAAAACATTTGCTCTCCACTTAAGCCCCTGGCATCAGGTCCTCATTTTTTACCCTCCCTCCCCCCTCCCTTACCTCATGAACCCTTGATAACTTATAAATTATTATTTTGTCATATCTTGCATTGTCCAACATCTCCCTTCACCCACTTTTCTGTTGTCCGTCCCCCAGGG